TATATATATATATTTGTCATTGGCTCCTTAAATTGTTACGAGTTTCTTTAAAAGTGGCGTCCAATAGTTGATCAAAATGTCGCGTCTTATTATCTCTAACTATCAGCTATTTGACGACAATCAACCTATTATAAAACCTATTTCATCCTCGCACTAGAAAGAGCGCCACAAGGAATCACTTTGGAACATCGACTTGAGGCCCGAAATGTTTGTGTATTGATCCACCCAGACTGGTTCCGGTCAAAAGTCTTCCGTGCTACACAGCCACCGAAAGACGGCTTTCGCATCCGTGTCCACCGAACACCCTGGTGATTTCAGTTACTAATCTACTTTTCTCCTTATCATCCCTACGGTCGATTTATTTCCGTCGCGAACTTTCTTTTTACTAGTTGTAGTTACACCTTCAGCAACTATCCTAATGATGAAATACTATAAGATATCTAGGTTGTATGTATTAGAATAACGCATTGTCTTAATTACCAGCATATAATTAGAATAGTTTCAACCTTTTCCGGTTTGAACATTTTGCCATATCTCAAATATGAAGGACGTTTTATAGCAAAAGCAGCGATTGATTGATTTACTTCAGACCATCGTCTCGTTGGCTCGAGTGAATAGAATCAGATAGTTTGTGATCGGTGTCGATAGTCTCGTTGATGATATCTGCAAGTTCAGCGGAAAACACCTTCAACAAGCGAAAGCCAGCTAGCGATGTAGGTATATGATAGAAAACAACAATAATAATAGTTGCATCACACGGCTTGCTCTCCTTAGTATGGCAGATTGACTGTTTTGATGCAAGAATACTCAATACCGCGAAGTTGAGGCGTGCCTGGCTCGCAAGCAACATTTACAAAAACTTGTAAATGATGATAATATTATTATATAAATTACTGAGTGAATATATATTAAAGCTGATAACAATCACATAACACATACGTTTTCTAAATATCACGAGTGAACTAACATTTTATTGACAATTTTCCTGCCGCCATATTTGCGGTAATTGTTCAAATTATGGATATGTACTCTCTCAATGAATATTATATACAATGCGTCACAATAACGCACCGTATCTCTTATTTGGCCATATATTGCACGCGAAGTAGTGAGAATGCTAGAACAAGACTAAATCAGCTAAGTTGGCTATTCCCATGCAATGTGCATTATATTTTTATACACTGACCATAGCCCAGGCATGAACATGAGGGCTTCTACCCATATATGAATTCCTACCTTTGACTTTACCTTAAACCCAAGGAAAAGATAACCCACTCACGCATTATTTAAAAGGGCTGCAATTCGAATAACAATTGAGATAGAATAGCTTTGTTTGTTGATATCATGTGATGATTCCTTGGCATTCGCCATTTGCTTAGCGGAAGGTCAGGCATTGGACCAGGCCTTAGCAGGAACGAGTTACGTAGTACATCTAGGAATCGAGATTAAAAATATCGATATAAGGTTATAAGTTTCCTAAACTATACCGAACCACGGGACCTATCATTCGTTAATAAACGAAAAAGATGCCATGAATTGCTGATTTCTATAGCCAGACTCATCTGTCATAAGCGTGAATTTCGATTTTAACAATTGAAACAGTATCAGTGCAGTATCAAAATGGCATCAATTCCTGTCACTGCAACATTCAATGGTGCCCGGCCAAATTATGGAGCTTGACATAACGGGTTCATAATCGCCAGTACAAGGTAAGTCCCAAAGTTGAACTGCGACAACTTACGACCTTAGGGGGTTAATGCAGAATCATTACGTGTTGTTGAAACGTTCGATGTAGAACGCATCCCTGCGTATGTTTATAGCCTAATTTTAATCGAACATAGTTTTCCTATGAAATACATTGACGATATATGAGGGAAACGTACACTGGAATTGGGAACGTATACTACTGGGGTTATTTTGCGTTTTCTCGGGTTTTGGGCAAACTTACCCTTAAAAGGTCATTGCTTCTGGGTGTTGGTGCTTTTAAAACCATAATGCTATTCTAATCAGAGAGAGGAAGCACATAGGACTGCTTCGTATTAAAGAAGCGCAAACCTAAAATTTAAAAATGTAGGCTAAGAATCCCACAGTCTGTCACATGCTGGTTTCTTCTTTAACATGTTTTCGCTATTGGCAACCTACGGTTCCTTCAACTAGAGGTTCTTCAATACCACTATCGTTACTAGGACCATGTCTCGTTTCTTGAAAATTTAACCTTCGTTGTAGGCCTTCACTGATGTTCATGCTGTCGAATACTATAAGTTAACGAAGAGTAATATTACCACGACTGATACGTCTGTTGTCGTACTAAAAATGATGATAATAATAACGGAATAATATATAATTTCTAATGATATTGAATAGCAAGTTTTTTTTAAGGCGATTAGAGGAAATGTACGATGAAACCGAAGCAACCCCTCGCCGAGTTTTGCAACGATGAAATCGAAGCAGACATAAGTGAACAAAGAAACGTCTTTATTTAATAGCCAATTATTACGAAAGTTGCTTCGTTGTTCTTTTTTAAGAGAGCGTCATGGCTGGAAAGCTTCAGTGCGTATCGAAACCATTAGAACTATTACACAAAATTGACTGTATATTACGTTGCTTTTATCTAAATGAATCGTATTGCATTTAAGATTATTGTCGAAATGTATATAAAGATTTGAACGAAAGGAACGACACATAGTGGGGTCGTCGTTCTGGTGTCGAACACTGAAATAAAAAAGAACTTGCGGAGCCCTTCAAGTGTACGCGATTTTTACACCTGATTTTTTTGAAGAAATTGATTTATTAATTTAAAGCAAAGAAAATTTCATCTTTTTAATACGTCGTTCCTAAGTAGAGCACGTAACGAATTAAGAGAATTCTAACAACTGTAACCTTCACGTTCAGAATTCAAATCTGCAGTACCTTTCGAGAATTTGGGGGTTTTCTCATCTATTTGCCGAGGGTTACAGCATTTAATTTTTAACATTATTTATAATGCAGATTTAAATGAGTCCCTGCTACATGAACAAAATGTTAGTGTTCCTTTAAAAGTTAGCCCTTTGCCCTTTCATGACTACTCCTAACCAGTCGCATGAGACATGACGTGTAGGATCGTCAGGAGTATTAAGATAGCTTAAGCCGATCATTGCATACGAAGTTCTTGCTTGAAATAGCTGAACGAAAGTAGAATAGGTAAGCAAATGAAAATTTCCTTTCAAATTTCGCTGTACTCTGTTTTGTTCAGGAGTCTGCACTGAGGTAGAATGTCATTCTAAGCAAACCCTTCCCAATTATCAAACGAAACCGTTGTTTTTTTTAATTCAAAGCTTTTTCATAACCATTTTATAGCTATAGATCGGATTGTCTGAATCTTTTAGGGGCTTTTGTTCGCGAAATTAAGTGTATTGAAAGGAAGCGGCTTGTTGGGCTGACTCTAACCCTACTTTACTTTTGCTTCTTCATCATGAACGTCTTGAATGTGGGCTCAGTGGTAGAATTTCGCAGTAAATATCGAAATAATTCTCAGCAGTTATGCATAATAGCTGTTAGGCTGTTACAAGCGAACCCGGCGGGCTTAGCAGAGGAAGTTTGACCAGAAGATAATTCCATTTTCCGTAAACTTGCTAATAAAAACCAGTGTAGTTTACTCCAGGAAAAGTGGATTTTGAAAGAAACAAACTTAGTCTCAAAAATCAACGTTCAGTTTTTTCCTCGAAGGCCACAGCGTTGCGGAAATTCATCTAAGGTCAGTAAGACGAAAAGACAAGGTGCATGAATAATGCAAACGTTTCGAGAATAGAATTATCGACCAGCAATAAGGGACACGGGCGACGAGTCTATCGTTACAATCGAGTAGACTTTTCATGAATCTAGAGATTACAATCTAAGAGCTCTCTGAGCACAAACAGACACTTCACATATATTTAATAGAATTATAATCCAAATAAAGAAAATACGAAAACTGACTGAAATCAGCCCCTCGTAAACTAACTCCAGACTGCGGAAATGGTGCATTCTATGTACTATGTGCGAAATTTCCCTTAACAAAAAAAGCTTGTTTGCAGCACACGGTCGGCATGGACGAGGCACAACTCAACCTCTGCCGTTGACCGGAGAAAAATCACGGGACAGAATGGCGCAGTTCTGGAAAAATCGTGTACGGATTTCAGGTAATTTTGAATTTCCGCTTATAGTAACACTTGCAAAAAACAAGTGCAATCATGAGCTACTCGTCGAAAATAACCATCAGTGACTGCAGCTGGCTATCCCAAGTTTCCGAAAAGACTCATAAACCGTTGCCATGCCAATCGAGTGCTTGCTTGACAGCGACGCCGTACCACATCGCTATGCCTTAATTACTCCCTGGATTGAGCAAAGGATTACTCAACGTTGGCCCCAATTCGCCTATTCTCCCGGTTTAAATCCGTGTAATTACGGGGCTTTCCATTTACTGAAAAAAGCAAGTACATCCCACCTTACGTCGATCTAGTCTACTTCGGTCGTTATGCCCCAACTTACTTCGAGCCACCATAAATAAAATTACATATGCTAGGTCCAGAAGCCGCCAAATCGCTGAAACAAGCGCGTAAAGAACAGAAGAACGCGAAGCGCTTCTGGTTCGGAGTCTGCCGGATTCGCTTGCAGTAGTCTAATGCGTTAAATTTGATTTACTCATATAACCGTAGGACTGAATCATCGCTGATTTCGTTTTCTAACGTAACACTATTGCTTACTCGTTTGAATTATAGGGTTCTCTGTCTATGCTAATATATTTTGCAAGCAATGCCCAATGCCAGTGACATGAAACTCTAAAGATTTATTATACTTTTGTAAAGTTTTGCGCCTCGCTGCAGTCTGAGAATGGTCAAGTAGTTATCAAGTGGTCAAGTATGTATCAGTAGTTTACGCGTTCATCTATTGTGTGCAAATGCTAGGCAATGCACGACCACTTTAACCGCCGGGCCCTCCACTTACTTTTATAGAGACCTCGTAATATTTCGGTTGAATTATTACAGGTGTCGTTTTAACATCCTAGGCGACGTCAAGTTGCCGTTTACTGATCACAATCGTAACTGAAGCCGTTTTACCATGTTCATACCGCGACTTGGCGTGTCACGTTTTCGTAGCTCTGTGTTTTCAATGTTTTTTATTTTAGACACGAGTCGTCCGTGTTAAATTAGGCTAGGTACGATTGGCAGGAGGTATTCGCCTAAGTTATCTAAGCGCATACACATTATACTCATGCATACGAGCAAAGGCTATAGCGCTACGCAGTAGAACGATCCGCTATTGGGACTTGAACGAGAGGTATAGGTGTTTTAAGACATTAACACGTACACCTGTCCAAACAAATAATCCGAATATTCGAAACAACTAAAGGCAACGATAGGTTCACTTACATCACTGGTATGGAAGTCGATCCCTTTCTGGATTATATTGACACCCGGACGCTGACGGAGCTCTTCAAGCAGTTGGACAAGGTCCTCCTCATCTTCGAGAGAACCCATCGGATGATCAATGACGTATTGTTCTTGCTGTTGTTATATGGCAACACGCACAGCTGCCGAACCACCCCTAACACAGTTTGTCCATCGACTGCGTTAGGTGCTATCGTTGCACATACCCTACCTAAACACGGTATCCGCTTGCGCACGTTTAGAAGCGAACTACATCTGTTTGCAGATTAATACAGATACACGGTGCAACACTATTCCATTAAATTGTTTTGCTTAGTTCGCATGTAGGTGCATATACACAGAGCTGTTTGTGTTGCTCTTCGTTTCGGCCAACGATATCGGATCACATCTTCATACGCACATCTTTTTCATTGTCATGTACCGTGCGTATTGAACACGGAAAGGAGAGCCCGTGGTTATAAGGATCGCGAATATAAAATGAAGCGATAGAGCTCAAAATTCGATTAGAACGAAAACGACAGGTTCACGATGGCTATGATCATTTGCTTACGTTTATGCATGGGAATAAATGCGTGGTTTTACCGACGATGGTTCTGTCCTAGGTAAGAATGAGTGTTACTTGTAATGGCAGGTTTTTCATTTTTTTTTCCCTTCTTCTAAAAGCAACCTCAATCAGTCAATCAATCAAAGAAAAGGCACCTATTTGCTACAACACGCCAGCTTCGTTCCGTTAACAACTCCCTGTTTCTTCAGCTCGAGGAAATGTTCACGGAACCAAAAAACAGACGGAAAATCGAAAGCTGCATCAAAACAACGCTCCACTGTGGCCAGGCACGACGACAAGACTACTTTTAAGAGGTATTTGTTTGGCTGTCGGTCTATGTACGCGTGCGTGTGCTGTAACTAGGGGACTTCTCAGAACTTTTACAGCCTGCCAAAACGACTGTGACCACCGCTGGTTTTTCGTATGACTAGCCGTACAGTATAACAGATCTACTTTGCCCTGGCTGGTCCTTCCCTTTCTCAGCTATCTCCGCAGTACGAACACAGACCAAACATTACTCGTGCCGTTTGCGTGTACGTTTGTGTGAAAGGAGACGCCGCTGCCCTTAGTTGCGCAGCGGTCGCTAGCAGCAGGAACAATGAAAACCAACCCGATTACGCTACGATAGTAAACGCAACACCGCAGCAAACGGACACTTGCTTACATACATATACACAAACACTTATACATACATACACACGTAGATAGGGACCAGACAACGCCGTTACGTACTGTGTGTGTCTATAGACGCGTGCTTACCGCGAACAAATTGGGGGCTGATTGGGAGAAGTGATAGATCGTAATAAAAATAGACATTGCAATAGCCTCCGAAGGTGTACAAAAGAGAGCGAGAAGTGGGAAGGCTTGCGCTAAGTGAATGGACCACGCGGACCTATAGCAACGGCTGTGCTAATGCCACATAGCTTTCCTATTGCCAGACCACAGCAGCAGACACTTATGGAACAAGCATCAAAATACAAGAAACATCTAATCAGTTCTGTCGGCTCGACACAGTGGTTTAGTGGTGGCAGCACCAGCGTCGCATGTTTTGGCCGGTGAACAGAGATGCGAACGTTATCGTAGATCTGAATAGCGTTGTTCGAGTTGTCGTATAATTCGAACACGCTCACATACAACTACACAAAGATAATATCGCCGAGGTAGTGTGGGGAGGCGGCAGCTAACCTAGCTCGATATTGATTTTTCCCTTGCTTTTCGTAAGAGAGGCTACTGAAACAAGATCGGCTTTTCAAACTTCAAATCTTCGAAAGGAGTCTTTATTAGTTCAAGTGCGATTGAATCTGACGGAGGGCGGGGTGATGTGCTGAAAGAAGAAAAATTGGTGCGCCGTTTTATTTGATGTCAACTTAATTAACACAAATTACAAAGCCAGAATCCCTCGGGGTCGGAGTAGCGAAGTACTAGCATACGAGTGTAAGAGAAGATGAGCCTTTTCGGGGTAATCGTAGCAGGCCGTCTGGTAAGTTAGGCAACGTTTTTTTTTTACATAGCCTCTTACCTTGGTATTGTTAGCAGTAGACGTAAATCATTTGACCTGTCACAAGAGAAGCAGCTTAATAGATGCGGTGCCGTTCACTGCTTGCTTGAAAAGTTTCGCAAGAAAGAAAAAGTTCTTATGGGAGCGAAACAATTCGACAAGCGAACTTCTGCTAACTATATAGTCGATCCATATTCAGGTTAAATTATTCTACGGCAGGGCAGTATAAAACGATCGATAAGTAAATCAAAGGGGCAAAATTTCTAGAAATTCGCAATACTGAGTCGAGATCTCCCATCTTATCTCGTGTATTGGGCCACATAATAACAAGCCAATTAATCATCGGGTCTGTGAATCTGCAGAAATAGATTATTAATGTCTAATATTCCCATATTGCAGTCGCATAGCCAAACAAGTGCTGCCATTAGCTAATCTACTAATGTAGAATAGTTTTAAAGCTTGAAGTGCGAACTCTAAACCACAAACCGTGACAAATATGAAATAGATTTATTTTTCATGCTTGCACGGATATTTTTGGGACTCTGAACTTCCCAAAGATCTTCTATCATTCTTTGTAAACAAAGTCACCGACAAAATAATTGAACATAAACCATAATAACCGGCTGTAAGGAAACGAAAGCCTTTCAATTATAGCCTACTTAGGATGACGAATAATCTGAAGCAGATCGTTGTTGTAGTATACTCTTTATGCTTACGTAAATTATTCAGAAGCCCGAGAAAAGTATTTTTAGGCTGATAGCTTGCAGTAGTTAACGCCCTCCATGTAGTCAGTGCGTACATTTACGAGACCAATTAGTCTATCATGTCGTACTGATATGCAGGTCCAGACAGAATTCGAGTCGGTGGAGCCAAACAAATTTCTACTGAACATCGCAGAACCTTTAAAGGTCAACTATGTGACAGTCTTCATGACGGGTGTACAGCCCTTTCCGCAAGGGCTAGGAGCTACAGGTAGTTTTTTTCCAGATTTTAATTCTACCCTTTGATAATCAAGCGTGATAAAATTTCTGCGATAAACTACGCTTTTCATTTAATAATTAATATTATAGTTTCTCATGTTTGACATAACGACATAAAGAGCTTTATTCACGTGTGTTAAAAGGACACCAAAAAAAAACTACAGGCATAACTTCGGCTAGGTGATACTTTAACGATTGTCACAAAACTCATCTAACAAATAAATTTAAAATCTTATATATATATATATATATATATAAAAATATATATATATAAAAAAGTCGAAATCTTAAGAATTTGTTCCGAGAACCTTCATATATTAGCACAGACTAAATATGTAGCCCTGCTGAATGTGCCGAAACTTTTCCACTCAATACTGTTCTACAAAAAGGAAAAAAAGTTCCGAATTTGGAATAGAAGAAAAGGATATGAAGCATTGGCGCAATTCCAAAAACACCTTTGCAGGTACAGCCTTAGATTCGCAAAGTTTTTATGCGGTGTAATAATCACTGTTCTATATTTTTGTCCGTTCCAGTGTACTTCAACATACCAAATCCTGATGGTACAGGCAGTTGGCACTATCTAGGATACATCTGCAATGATAAACCGAGTGCCATCTTTAAGATAGGCAAAAGCCGGCAAGGTGAGTGTTGGAGACTGTGCTTGTGTATGACGTTCTTTACGTTCTCACTTTAAAACGGCATTTTTATGCTATGTTCTATAAATGGGGATAAAAACCACTACCATTACCGAACTGAACTGTGTTTATTATGAATAGCACATAACTGGGGCTGCAATTGTTAAAGGACTAAAAAGAACGACTTCAGATCATTGATAAGTAACAAACACAAACAACCATTGCTCGTTTTTTACATGATTTCCAGCATCTGGGGATACTCACGCGTTTTCCGGCCTAATGCATCAACATAATGTAGGTCAGATGGGCATTTCTGTGGAGAATCTAGCAGATATAAAGTTCATGGACTCGGGAGCCAACGCCCAGAAAGCTCAGGCATCGGTTGATACCTTTGCAGAATTTTCAAAGAAGATGCTAGAAAGTTTCTACAACTATGCGACTTCGTTCGCCGTACCTGGACAAGCAGGCGAATTGTTTTTCCCTGTTCGAACGCTCGAAGGTTGGTATACTAATTTCGAGCGAAAGCTTCAGCAAAATCCGAATTTTTGGAAACAGCAGCCGCAGTCAGCCTAGCAGGACATGATGGTAGCGGCAAACGTAGCGAAAACAACTCAAACCTTATTATCGTGTCAATATAGCCTACATTTTGAAATTTATAGGTCACGAAGCACAATGAAGTGCGCATCGTGCCTAAAGATAACCGCAATTATGCTCACCTTTTGCTCCATTTACAATTCGATATGACCAAAAATCCCACACGGCGGATTTTCTATCAGAAAATTGTCGAAGAACATAATTTCGTTGCTACTCCTGAGCGAATACCTGTTTGTCACCCAATCTGACTATTGGATAGAGAGTGTTTGTATAAACACTTAGGCATTATAATTCCTTTTTAACAAAAACGGTTAAGTTCTCCGCTGGAGTAGATATTATGCCACCTCGACTGTACTCTCTGTATCGATGCCAGCAAATTTTGCTACATTGGAGCGAGAGATATTCACTAAGTAGATAAACTATGGTGTACCTGTTAGACTTTATAGCTACACTGTCGTAATACGTGATTTATCTATGGCTGCTAATCAACATCTGAAGGCATATAGTCGAAAAATTTATCAGTCCTTCAAACTTGGATTGCTGATTGTTAATGTTAATCGTCGTCTAGCTATTTTAGTTTCATCGGTAGTCGTAGTAATTCGACAGTGTTTAATACGGTCCCATTACTTTATCGTGAATAATTGAACCTCAAGTACCAACTTTTTTCCGTTGGGCGACACTGCTGAGCATGCCATGCGCCAATACTGCACCTGAAACCTACACGAAGTTAACTTTAACCTAATCAGCATCATACACCATGCTAGGCACAACAACGTGTGGTTAACTTTTCAACATTGAAGATTACTTGTACGTTACTGCTGAAAACTGCTTATGTATAAAACAACTTTCATGAAAAAGAGAAGCTGAACTTTTTTTTAATTAACTGATGGATTTAAGCGTTGTGTGATTTAATCCTTCTATTTTTTGCGTATTACTTTGGTTACATGTGGACACTCATTAATTATGAATATAAATAATTTTCTCATTTGAAATATTTTGATCTCTTTAATTGAAAAAAAAATACTAGTATATATATATATATATTATCTAGCACTTTCTTCTATTCATGGTGTAAATAGCTGCGTGCATTACCCGAAATTTCTATATTTCTTCGGACGCTATTATATTAGAAATTGGATGGCTGCACAGACCAGAAATGATCATTCTTTCAGGGACTGACGGTTTCCCCACTGTAGAGCTAGGTATGTAAGTGCTATATGAATTGCAATTGGCGTCCACCCCGTTCAAGCAACCTGATAACGACTCACTAGTGTAATTAATATTACGGTTTATTATAAAGAAGGCATAGCACATTGTATAAATCGAAATCTATGAGTACGTATATATATGTACTCATTTTCATCGACAATGTCTAGACAAAAACAGACTAATAATAAAAGAATCCCACTAATAAAAACGCTTGACTAATTGAGGTGTGATATAATTGGTGTCGCTTTATTTTTAGCTTAGTGACTGGTTCACAGTCGTCGGCTTGGGTCACTTGTAAAAGAGTATATATAATTTATCATCGTCATCATTGATGTTATTCATTCTGTTGTTATATTGTGGTTGTTTCTCAATCATATAATAATGGACATAGGCGATATATGCCGCACTTACACATTTGTATGTGTGTGTGTGTATATGTGTGTTTATGTAAAGTGCCCGGGTTGAGCCATAATCAAAAAACCGTGACAAGTTTTCTGCACTTATTTTTTTTAATCAGCTATAGACTCGAGTGAGCTAACTGCTCGATCAGCATTTTTGCTGTATTCATGCATGTATATGCGTGTATACATATATCCGGACATGTAAATGCCGGTTGTGTTTTCTCGTGCTTGTTGCTGTTGTTTTTACACCAGGCCTATGTGGAAAATGAGATCATCGAGTCTACCCAGGATAAAACAAACAGCATTCAGTATCTGTTCCGGGGCCTATTTATTTCAAGTAATCATCATTCTCTCGTCCAGCTATTCTTTTGTACCACCCTCCGACACATTTGTCCCCTTGCTCTTCACCTTTGCCTCAATACGCTTATACGGCCGGAATAAATAGCTTTATCATGTGTATATATATATATATATATATATATATATATATATATATATATAGATTTATTTATATATAGAGTTGTATGTATATAGCTTCATGTATATATTCATGTATTTATATTACACATGCTGCGGCTGCTGCGCGTAAGTACAACGCCTGTTCGGTGTGTATGTTGAAAGGTCCTGCCAGACATCGCTTTTGGCGCACACAAAAAATCCCATTTCGCTTTGCTCATTCATCTGTTCTACTAGACCATATGCGCTGGGCAGCAGATCTTGACATATCACTCCCCGAAAAGGTGCCTTTTAATCATTTTTTATTTGTCTGTGTTTCCCCGTATTTGCTTTATAGACTCTAATAAATTCCTTCTGCCAGCACACACATCCATTGCAAAACTTTCAAACCATTCATTCATACACAGTTGTATTTATATGTCATAACTTATTTTCCTCAGATTTTTCAGATAGTTTTAATTTGGTTTAGTTAGATTTTTGTTTGTTTTAGTTTAGAAATGGTTTTTAAAAATTCATTTTCTCACTGTACAGCCAGTGTAAGACGCAATGCATTGGTCCTTCAAAAATACCTTGAACCTCAAGGCCTTTCTTTAAGTCAGTACATCTCCATAGCATTTTGTGAAGAATTTTGCTGCGTATTTATAGCTCATTTTTTGCCACTCTGAGTTCACCCTTGTATACTGAAAGTGCGCACATTGAGGATGTTACTTGGTGGACCTTTCACTAAATTAACGAAAAAATAATAAGATCATTATCAAGAATATCATAGGAATCAATGCACTTGTTGTTTGAGTCACGAAAGGGACTACCTAGTGTAAACTTGTCTTCGCCTTCTTTATCGCGGCATCAAGTTGCCGCCTCTGTCAGTAATTCACTTCGAGATTTCTTTTTTCCAGGCATTAACGTCGTTAGTTAGTTTTTGGTGACCGTGATTCTTTTTTGCTTATCGTTTTAATCTTATGTAGACGTTAGGTTCTTTTTCTGCAGCTGCTCTATAGCTATTTTGTAAAATGGGGTAGACTGTATATACAAAGCGACATTGTATGCTTGTGTAGCTAATTTTTCGCTGTTCCATACATATCAACTTGTTTTTTCCTGTTTGTTGCGTTAGTTGATCATTATAAGAATAGTACTTATTTATTACAGACAGACTACAGTACGTAGTTCAGATACTAGTTGGCCAAATGTCTACAAAGTATAGGAAACTATAATTGACACGGTTTGTGTGAGTAAGTGTTAATTTTATCGCCTGGAAAATGTTTTGTGTCCAAAGTACACTATTCTATTTTGTTATTTATTCATTGTTATAATCTATACTAGCGCTACACTTAAGTCACACTACAACCATCTTAGCTTACGGTCCTCGTGTTACAATCAGTTCGCTTGTTCGCTGGTGACAAACGCCGGGAGAGGGACAGTTGCTATCACAAAACGAAATTGCATCGGTGCACCAGTGCTTGATAAACTAATTTTAGCGAACCAAGTTTAGATCCAAACCTGGCCTGCAGTGTTGACCGAATGTGCTTTTCCACTCTGTCCCATTGATCCCGACGCGCACATCTAGCGATCCGTCATTGAACATCTCTTACATGGTGCGGAGAGTGCAGTCGCGCTCGGAATCGCTCGCATTGCCATTTATCATCAACCCGTTCTCAATCACGACTCGGTCGATTGTTGTTGAATGCTCGCCTAATTTGCTTTCATTTTTACTAGGTGTATCTGTTAGGTGTTGTTTTGTCACAAAGCGACGCGTTTCTCAACACAATAATCGACCGTCTCTGTTCATAGAAGTACCTTCTGATCTAGTTGTTGAAATAGTATTCATCATAGTAGATTTGCAATATCAGACAGGTACTTCCTATGCCGCTCAGCTAGCTATCTAAGCCCTAAACACATTCAGTATTAGTTATGGTAGGGCTTACGCTTTCTGTACACTTCATTTATAGGGACAGTCGTTCGTTTCACCTCGTTCTGGACATTTCGATCAAAGTTCCGCGGCTAGTGTCTTTTCTATTCGATCCTGTACCTCTTATAGTAGCCAACGGATATTCTGGCTTGGTGTCCGTATATCGTGATAACTCAGGGTCCGCGGGATCAGCATTATTTTCATACTCTTATCGTCGTTCGGTTTTCATCCCCATTTCGCGCAGGGTAAAGATAATAAGAATTGTAATATATCGTATTATTCATTCATCATGACTAGACAATCGCACCTTGACTAGATCTTTTCCAAGTAGCTCACGCGCAACTATATATTTGTTGTAGTTAGAGGTAGTCGTCACACCTTCGACTGGTAGTCGGAAACATGCGACACACCTTGTACCGGCACAGTTTCCACAGTTTTGGCTTCTTTGTGGGACTTTATAGGACAAGAATGGCCAGAAAAGCCCGTTACTCTCGGCATGGCGTTTCAACAAGGGGATATTCTTTTCTCTTTTTATCTTATCTGTGTTTAGAGTAAACTTGAGACCGACCGTACTTCGTATGTGTTTATTACGCTTTCTAAAAAGAATCTCTTATTTTAGTTTGTTTCAAGTTCAAAGTCAAAAGACGCCTGTGCAATTGGCAGCAGGCACTCTTATTGAACGAAATGCACAAAGATTTTTAATTAGTCAACAACTCTGTATGTGTACTTGCGGTTTCTCGTTTCCTACGCCAAAACCAAACTCAGGTCGCATCCGTTCAGGCTTTCACACACAGCGCCTTGTCCACTTGTAGCCGATCGAGTAGTGCCCGATCTTACCTTTTTTGCTTTTCACACTAAGATAAGAAATAATAATATAACTGCACCTTTGACTAGATCATTCACAATGAGATCATCCCATTTTGCACAACTGTTGTCAAGCACATTCACACGGCCAGGAGGGACACTGCACAACGATCTTCATCTATATATTTTATGTGGAGTTCATACCGCTGTGGCTGTCGTTGTTGCCGTAGTTGTCATTAAACAATAAGGCTACGTTACCATGACTAATTAATTATAATAATAGGTTTATGCTCACAATGTCCTGGCATTGAAATCCATTCATCTCGGGTCAGTTGATGGTTTTTCTGTCGGTTGGGTTATTTCCTGCCAACTGTTCGTCAGTAAAAATAAACTTCGAGGTACAATTTGCATAGAACCTCTCTGCAGAGTTCTAATAAAATACTTTGTCGCAGAATAATAAATACTTTTGTTGTGTCTTTGGTATGGGTTATATTTTACCGTTGTCAGTTTTTCGTCGTTTTGGCTCAACTTCTCAGTTTTCCTTTGTCCCTTGTCTCAACCTCCCCTTTAGAGCTCTCTTCGCCAATTTACAAGACATTTTTTGGATCATTGAAGACTGTTTGGGCCGTGTTGCGTAATCGGCTTTTTTGCTCATATGCTGCTTACATATCCTGAAAACCTCATTTAAAGATCTGTGATTGGACAAAATGTGGCTGAACGCTTGCTGCCATGGCATCGATACTATTGTTAGGGAGAAAGTGGTTGTTCCATTGTGTTTCTTCTCTACTAATTTTAGCCGACCGGACGGATATATATATATATATATATATATATATATATATATATTCTTATAGTAATCGTCCAAATTTGCCCGTATCACCTACTTGCGTTATAAATGTGTGCCTAGAACTTGATCAGTATCTTATTTTTCATTCGCCACTCCCATGATAATTGACCAAGTCGCCATGGAATCACGTTCTCACATCATCATGCCATTCACATTGATTAAACCCTTTCACTTGACAGCTGTCCGTACTGACCCCAGACCCTGGTCGCTAATCGACTTTTACCTCTTAGCTCATCGTTCGTTAGCTTTATAACTTTATCTTATCCGTTCTTATTCCGTCTCATTCGCACGTTAGCTAAACAAAAACTCCATTTACAATGCCATTCCGGAGAAGTCTACGGCCCGGCAGAATCACGAACGTGATCGACAGAAATTCGGGTTTCGTTTACACCCTGCATGTTGTCTTCTATTCGGCTGAATGTCAAACAACAATCCACTCGTTACATATCAAGCGCTTAAGATTCAGAGAGATTTCTAACCGCACCACTTAAGCAGTCGGTGATTATTCGGGCAAACCATACTGTCGCAGGTAATCAAAGCCATTGGTCAGTGGTCACACTATGCTTAATTCGATCACGTTGCGTTGCCGGATATAGACTCCGCCCATTCAGCAGCGACACTTTCGGGCTCTGATGGTAACCAACCAAGCTATACGGCTCAGCTAACCGTACTCCACCCATTAACACTATCGGCAACGCATTATGATACGAAACAGCAAGCCGACGAATGACGCATTGCACTACCGAAAAGACCTGGTTCAAATCTGATCGACCCACATTGTACACCATCATTGACCGATACTAATTCACATGACGACACAATTTTCAAATACTACATAATTCTATACAGTACCAATAGTATACCCACCACGACGACCGCAAATCGGTTATTGCCAGAAGTCGTCCACGTTTCAAGTGTAGCTATGAAACACCCAAAAAAAACTCATCGAGAGAGAACGGCACACGTTCGCTCAATTTCGGGAACCTGTAAAACATGTGTAACACTGTAACCTTTGCTGCCTTGGATTATAACACTCACAGGGTACCCCTCGCAGCGTTTCGAATTCACTGCAATATTGACTAGATATTCTTTCGCAAACGATTTCATTCTCGAAAGCGAGACACAGTGGTAGTTCTGGCGTACGGACCTATTCGAATTGGTCCATTCAGATCCATGTGAGAAAGTTTTGCTACTTGACAATAATCGACTAGATCATTCAGGTCCTCTATCATAGCATGGTCATCCGCCTGTTGCTCACAGGTTTCGATCGCACATTTACTCAGTCGCACATGACGACAACGATGCACAGGATCTTAGTAGTTTACTTCACTCCGTTTTCCTTGCTTCACTTCCTTAATCCTTTTCTTATTATCATATCTTTTATCGTCATCACCATCAACAAACAAGCTAGTCGCATGCTACTTATTTAGCTGTTCTGGCTGCCTTGCTAGCGGCTTCCGAGAGGAACATCTCCCGGTGCTTGCTGAATTTGTGCGATCGTAACGCCGTGGGGTCGGAGCATCGGTAGCTGCAGTACGGACAGCTGTAGGGTTTCTCGCCTGTGTGCAGCCTTTCGTGCAGGGTGACATGGCTTTTCTGTTTAGCTGCGTATGCGCAGAAGCGGCACCGGTATGGTCGATCACCGGTATGCGTCCGCTGATGAACGTTGAAGACTGTCTTCGATTCCGTCGTGTAAGTGCAGTACTTACATCGGTAACGCCAGCCACCCCCACTTGCACTTCCATTACCTTCGCCGTTGTGGACTACGACGCTGTTTGGGTGTGCGTGATGATTGTTGCTCGAATGATGGTTGCCCCCAGTAGCCGAGCTGATGCCCTCGAGAAGTGGAATCATCCCTAACGCTGCTAATTTCTCCGTATCTGAGAGTATCATCTGAAGACTGCTGTCTGTTGATTCAAATATCCGACAAGACAACGATAGATACAGCGGGCACGGGAAGGGAAGCATCGAAGAAATAGGCAAAGTTAACAATGTTAGTTCTTGTTGCTTGCAGCCCAAAAAGGTGTGGAACTTTTTAGCAGGAACGATAACCCTGGTGAGTTCTTGTGAGGGCCATGAGAAACAGCGAGTTCATGCAAAACATAAACAATTCCATGTATAGGCCATATCGGTGAGAAAACAATCGTAGAAAGCAACTAAGCAGTATTAATAATAATAATTAAACACTCGATTTCGTCACTTAAGTTTATGCTAGTTCACCGCATACAAGATTAAACTCGTTAACATTTATTTGTTTTTTTTGCTAGCTTTTCTTTAAGAGTTTATTAGAAGGTAGATGGCCCATATTGCTGTTACGATAGGTGGTCAAATCAATGGGCCGAAACTGAGTGAAGAAAAGTGGTATGAGGTAGAAAGTCAAACACCCATCTGCAAGAAGACACGAGCGTTAGTAAAAGAATGTTAAATCACACTTCAATATTAATAGTTAGTGACACACATACGAACACACAGGCACACAACGACTAATCACACAATTTAGACATTAACACTGACTAGTCGAAAGGCACGTCACAGTAATCATCTTCACTCGAAGGATTGACTACTTACAGATCAAAGCCCCAACTCATACTTCCTCTTCCAAAAAATAAGTATAACTGATGTACCGCTTTCTCAACTCCAAGGGCTCTGAGTAAAACAAGAATTTAATTTCTAAAAACAAACAAATTCTCACTATTTATTCAACATCACGGGTGTCAATGGAGTGACTATTAATAAGACACTGAAGCATTTTGTTATTCATTTTTAAACGGCTTGGTCTGATGGGGATTAAACCGATCATGGAATTCGGTAAAGCAGTGGCGACAATACAGATCGTCATCGCAGTCTATACACCGCAGTGCGGCGTCTTCGTTGCAAATCACACACCAGGGAAGTTCGTCAAGTTCGGCTGTATTTGGTGGTTCGGGGATGTGGTCTGCAATTTTATCCTTAACCAAATCCTCGGTCCTCATCTCAAGCTCGGTTTCCTTTATCAGACGTTTCACAAGATCTGCCGTAGACATTTCACCAGCGTCCGTTGAGATCATATCTCTCCCACGAGGAATTAGGTCGATAGGACAGTCCTTTCGAAGATTCTCAAGACGACGGCTGATATCGTCTTCGGGTGAGTTTTTCTTCTCGATGTCGACCGTAGCCATAGTAGAAGCAAGGAGGTCGTTCTGTTGTTCCTGTGATGATTTATGGGATCTTGGAGAAAAAAGAATTGAATGCTGTCCCTCGCCGTTCTCATTCAAATCTTCGCCTCGGAGCTTTGCTAAACGTTGCTTGATTTCCTTTTCGTAGGAAACAACTCTAGAGGTACCCGCTTCAGCAGTACTACTGGCTTGGACACTATAGCTCGATCCACCCGATGGGTAAGCTGTAAGTACAAGCGAAGGTTTTGATCGTCTGGCATCCTGCATGGTTTTTAGGGCTTTGGGTGTAATGTCGACATTTGACGTATTCCTCGCCACATTATTAAAGCATGAACCACACACCTTTTTTTTGAGTCCACCAAAAGCCGCAATGTGCATGGAATAGTTCAAACATGATGCGCAGAACACTTTCTTACAGGATGGACACCCCACCTCTCTGTTAAATAATCGAAATTTACTGCCACAGGTGAGGCACGACATTGTATAGTCGTTAGCGTTGGTTTAGTTCATAACTATTACAATTACATCACGCTCCGTACTTGGACACAACTATCTTGTCAGAACTAAATTGGCAATGCAATTTGATTTTAACTTTCGATTGAATCTAACCTGTCCATCCCAGCTTTCATCTCCCGTGCTGTCGAAATGAACGCATTCAATATACGCGCGACTGACTCATAGTGGCGTAATGCTATAGGATGTTAGTAGATTTTGGCAGATAAAGGCCAAACGCTGACTCAAATAACTGATTTCCGATTACTTTGATTATATTCCATTATACCAGACATACACCCTTACTACCCAGAAAGCGTCACTACAGGCACTACCCCCAACAAACAATACACTCACAACCCCACAAAACATCGCCTATTTCTCGGACAAGTCGGACCAGTCCGGGCCCCAAGCCTTGTTACCTGTCTGATTCAATCTTTCCGTTGCAATAAATTTATGAGCGGTACCTTATCACCGGCCGACATAATTGAGTTACTCTACACTAACACTATAGCTACTTAGTTATTTTTACGCCCCGTTGTTTAAATTGCACTCAAATATTTAGGATCTAGATGTCGCCAGAGAGGACTTTTAGGTCAGTGGAATGCTTCAGCTAAGGCTGTGCAGTATACGACTAAAGACACTCCATAGAGGAGCGGAAGACCTGCCAAATGCGAAAATAGCTGAGGGCCAGCCTATACAACTTTGTTTACAATGGAGGAGAGGGAGAAAGTTGAATCTGCTAGAAGCACTCGTTCGAAGAAGACTTGACTGCCTTAGCTGGCGTTTGCACTCACTTTGATCGGACTAACTTTCGCTTTCGCTTACACTCCGCTGTACCTGGACCGCGGTGTTTCGTTAAACACCTACGTATTCAACTATTTACCTGCTTGACCAGACGAGCCAGTGGAGTAATTGAATCAAACGCGCGCAGACTGTTCGACATATCGTTGATGACGATGATCTTTGCTGTTTGGCATTGCTGACGTAAACATTTCCTTTGAAATATGTCGTAGGTGGCGGCAGAGGTAGCAACAATAGATTCAGTGGTTATCTTTCTCCCTGGTTCTCTCTTAGGCGAGCGCATTGGTCCGCTGATCGTCATTGATCCACTGTGCTGTGCCGTGCTGTGATTTTCGTGCTGCGGGATGATCAGGTGTAACTCAGATGCCATGTGCTGTCGTGGTCTGCTGCTCCTGCTGCGTGAGTCGACATCTGCGAAAGCTGCCACTGTTGCCGTCGTTATTGTGCATGTGGCAGCGTTCCGCTGCTGCCGTTCGCTCCAGTTGTGGTGGTAGAACCAGCAGCAGCAGCAACGGCGGCAGCGACGGACGCAGCGAAACCGTAACAGCGGGAGCGAAACAAGAACGACCGTCACCATTCTGGCAGCAGCGGGTCCGCAGCATTAGCAGCACCCGTACCGCCGTTGCTGCCATAAGCTGTGACTATCTGGCAGGCGCTTAGATAGTGGGTCCATTGCCTTTGGCAGCATTGTCGTCATCGTCGTCGTTGGGGGTCCTGCTGCCGAGAAGCCTGTCGTCGTGAGGTTGTGTTTTTGTTGTTGTTGCTGTGCGTAAATAGATCGTAACTCTACGACCATGGTGAAATAAGATAATCAAACGAGTTGAGATGAATCGAGAAGAATTATCTGTGCGACGGGCGATTGTTGGTGATGACTGTGGTTGTGATAGAGGATTGCCGATCCGGATCAGGAATAAGAGTAGAAGCAAAGGCGATGGTAGAGAGCTGTGAGAATGTGCGAGCCAGTCAATCTTGTCTCCGTCTCTAATGCCTAACTGACTGCCTACGAATCACTACTATTGCTCATCGCACTACACTATGTTGTACATTATAGAATACAATACTGCCTTCTTGCAATGTTATTTTAGTCGAGTCCGTACTGCTGCTATTGTAGCTGGTACTGGAGTGTTGTAACGAGCACTCTATCAAACATCGCTTTGCTAATGTATCGCTCGGGGTTTGTCTCACTGCGTGCGAGTTGTTGGTCGTCGATCTAATGCAGAGCTGCTGCAGGTGCCCCTCTGTACTGATGTTACTGTTTGCTGACTGGGCAGGTGCAGGATGAAAAAAACGAACGACGGCGTGAAGGTCTCAACTCTCTTCCTTTGCCTGTCCGTGCAGCCCTAATTATTTGCCCCCTCTATGCTAAATGTGTCGATGCCGCATGATCCGTCCGAATGACACGAATGCCGCACGTTAGTAGTGAAATTACTTCAGCCTCAAGGCAGGTAAGGCTACATCTGTTAATTAAATTATTAATATATGGCTAATCTGTGTCTGTGGATTTGCGTGTTGGTGAAACAACAAATATAAGAGTCAAAAAAGATTCTAGGCAATTAGTTCGTAGTCTATTCGTCGTTCATTGGAGACAGTACTTCTGATCTATCTTCTGGTTATTATTTACCAGCCATTATATTGTTTTCCCTATCGATGTTTCTGACGATTGTGTATAGCTGCGATAATGGTATATACTGGAACTATAGCGGTAAATTTCGGTTCGTCGAATTTTAGTGCTGCTGTAAGCACGGCAACGGTGCTCCTGGGCAACAACGGTATTGTTAGCGGTAATTCAGGTTGCGGCAATGGCCTCTATGCTGCCCAGCATTGTTTCGTTTACCCGGCTGGCTGGTCTTTGCAAGAAGAATCTAAAGCTAGCGAAAACAAAAGGGAGAAATGATACGTGTTAACTTGGAACAACGACATTAAGGTGGCTCATAATGACAGAATACAACTAGTAACTCCAACAGTACACGCTGACAAACGCCTCTTCTGTCATGTGAATGAGTGAGGAATAATAAAAATTATCAGTACCACCATCAACGCTCACTCGACGTAGTGTTCGACGGGAAAAAAAAGGAAGCTGGACAGATAGTAGTCCATTATGTAAAGAGTGAAATTAGCTGTCTTTTGATAAGAGGCGCGGAACGATATTCAAAGGCAGTTAGTACTATAATAATGAAGTTTGTGAAAACCTACAAATGTCATTTGCGGTAACTGGTTACTTAGATAAAGCCAACGTTTCTGCAACAGGCAAAACATTCATTGCGTATCTTAATTTATTATCTCACTACCACCACATCCTGTGTTTATTTGTTGATGTATATTGTGATCATCGCCAACGGTGACGACTCTGTTACGTTGACGTGTAAATCCTTTTACCAAAAACTAGGTAACATACGTATTATGATATATACATATATATTCATCTACATAGTGATCATACCGAGGGACACGATCGCCAAACTGTCGTTTGCTGAAAGACAAAAGCCCAAATATTTGATACCCAAAGAAGTATATTTTCAGTGCGTTGAACGTCAATTAAATTGAATGTCGGAAGCGTCTCATTACATACGATAAATATCTTTGCCGGAATTTCGTTCAGTTTCAACGACTTGCACCTACAGATGTGAACCTAACTAAAACGATATAACTGTCGCCTTAAATAAAGCATAGGTGAAGTAACTCAGTTATGGATTAAATTTCCGTCGTCCCTTTCATTGCTTTTTCGTTTTCAGGTTATTTGTGTACATTGTGACATCTCTGGCCATTTAGTTATAGTTTCTATTTGTATATAATTCAGCGCATCTGAATTTTCCATACAGACCCTATTTACGTTCCGTCTACAAAATAAAAACATTTTATCACTTTTTTTGTTTATCATTTAAGTCTTCCAAGCGTTGAGCCGACACTATTTCGGCACAAGCCGAAAGCCCATTTCCGGGTATGTTGTTACCGAAAGTCAACTAGTGAGTCAACGAGTTACTGATCACCGGGTGGCCTGTTTGTTACTTGGCTGTGTACTGGCAGACCGACGCTGATTCTGCTCAACGCTTTAATAGTACGCAAGCTACGGGTGCAGTTTATGAAGAGCTCGGACGCCGCAAGGGCCAAGCGGGGTACGTTGACACTCATCAGTTAGCCTCTCCGTCCAGCTTCGACATCTTGCGCTGGAATGACTGGGTTACGGATATGAGCAGATATGCATACACAAGCACACGTCCATACATAGACACGAAGCATCCGAGAACAGGCAAAAGAAACTGGGAGAATACCTAAACGAACGAATTGGAAAGCCGTCAACAACCATATCCTGGAAGTTTTCCCATCTACCTCGAAACTCTAGATGTCGGGGTTGGTATAAAAGTCCGAAAGTATGAATCGAAGGCTGAACGTTTGTCGCACTGCCAGTAAAGGCTAGTAAAATACAGGCGGTAGTTTGCTGGCGGCTAGCTAAAAGTAACAAAGACAGGCGGAAAATTCTGTTTAGAAAAAAAGTAACGGGCAAAGTAGACGCTCGAATTCCTCATCGACTCATCCACGAAGATCTTGCGATACTAGTAACAACAACAGTATGGTACCGTAACGGTTACTGTAAAACATTGCTGCGAGAGCCGGGTGTGACGAACCGGACAAAATGCAAAATTAAAACGCAATAATTGAAATCTAATAATATAAACCCGAAAAGTCAAAAATGGCACTTGATTGCGGCCAAAGAATAAACAGTTTACTACCTACTAGTAACTAGAGGTCACGGTAAGGACTAGTTATGGTTGTGATGAATAATTCCGTTGGAGTAAAAAAAAACTAAAATGGTGAAGCAAACAATAACAATTGTCGGAAGAGGTAACGGCATAGTGAGTACCGCGCTAATTTTTGGAAGTATTATTTATGTGTTGACTAGCAGAAAAGGAACGTGGTAGAACACTTAAACGATAAAATATTTGTTAAATTTTATCGACGGAATTATGGTCATTTGTTAGTCCTCCAGTTGGATGAAGTGTTCGGCGTATTTGAAGAAAACGACGAATAGCGATACCGCTTTGCGTTAAGTGTGCTTGAGCACCTTTCACTTAATTTGGGTTTTCCTCACCGCTTCGCCCTTCATATTAGTAAAGAGTAATCCATGTACTCTCTATAAGATCTGTTAGTCTCTTGGCATGGCCAGGGTTCTAGGGTAGCATACTTTAGATGCTATATTGGGCTTCACATACCACTACGGAAATTGAACTCGAAATTGATTGACTTGCGTAAACCTATGATTCCTAATATCATTATATTCTATATTCCTTGAAATTAATCTTATTAATAACATACTATCAATTTTTCAAGGGGCCTAATGGAACGACTTTAAGAAGGTTTATGTATATCTATATATAAAAATTTGGAAATCTCCCTTTACTTGTTATATTTGTAACTAATGTAATGAACACAGCCAGAAGCTATGCAGCTCCAATGGTATTATAAAACAAATCGCACAGGTGAAATATTTATTTTAGAAATATTAGAAGCCGCATGTTTAACGGGATTGTCCCTTCACTATTTTAATGTAGCGCCTATAACTAGAGCTGTCAGTATTTGTATATAATTATTATAAATATTAATATAAATAAAAATTATTTTTACAAAATAGTCATAAAAACTTAACACAGGTGCACCAATACAAACTCCACGTCATTTTCCAAATTGCGCTAACTAGAGTTACTATGACGCGTCGGTTTACGTTGTTGCTTTGTAATATGAAGCATAACTACGAAGACCTTACGTCTATAATTTACATAGCGGCTTCCAAGGCTTATATACCAGCTTTATCATCAGCGACGTTGGAAACGAGATGATATCCTGACAACGTTATTTTAGAGAAACCCTTATTGGTTAAAAGTAAAAATAGACAGTAAAACACCAACTGATAAAGCCAATTGTCGTCGTACTGTGCCACGTCAATGCTCGGCACACTAATATATATATATATATATATATATTAGAAAGAGAGGTGATTTGTACTTGAATAAAGCTTGTCGAACTCTTTGCGCTTTGAAGGCATTCGTTACTCCGCTAATTTTTAATATTAAAAGAAAGCCTTCCACTTTTTTCTAGGGCAAAACAAATGTTGCCATCATGGTGGAAGATAATGCGTCGTTATTGTAACTTGATCTAAGATCACCAAACATGCAACGCTTTTGCGCCAATCGAGCGACCATTAGACTTGAAAACGTTTTGCTTTCATTTGCAGTTTTCATGTGGCTTCTGAAGTAACCAGCGAAGATTTCAATGAGGCCAGCTTAAACATCCTCCATAGAGTTTAGATTTCGACAATTTTTAAACGAATTGAAGTAATAAAAAAAAATCAGCGTCGATACGCCCGGCTTCTTTTACATAAAAATTTCAAGACCAGAATATCAACTGCCGAATGAGGCGTTAGTGATTAGCTTTACGGGTTTGCTTTCTTTTGAGACTTTCTGTGCTGTTTTGCAGCTTCCGGATTTTTGAGATTTTGTGCTTGCTATCAGACTTTTCCATTCTAACTTGAAGTGAAAGTGAGAATGAAAAAGTTTAATTCCGCTGATATTTTTTCTATGTAGAATATTCAAAAAGCACTTTACAGATTTACACTGATTAATATCGCTGGAGGCTGTTGGAATTACCTCCAGATTAAAGAAACTATTCGATAATTGTTAAATAAACATGACCTACAGAAACCTGCTCCCTCGCTGCGGTCTACATGCCAAACCCATATATACTCCTCTACGTTTTCCAAGCTGAGACCAACACCATGAATCCTGATATTGAGAAAACACTAAATTTTTATTAGTGCGGTAATATCTCTGAATACCAATTCTTTACTAGCGATGTGTTCCCACAGCAAAGCGTAGACGTTTGAATTACCAAAAATTTTGCTGTTGTCACTGGCGGCGAGAGCAAAGGGCCGAGTAAATTTCAGTCACTTTTGCGGCGGCGGCGGCGGCGGCTGACGCTGTTGTTCCTGTGGCGCCAGATTTTCGGATTTCGATGGTTTGTCATCATCTGTAAGTAGAAAGTTGTCCTGAAACAGGTTCCTTTCATCATCGAACGACGGGGCTTCCGAGAGTTTCGTCCCAAATGACCCCTTAGAGGGGGGAGGTTTCAGAGCGCTAGAGGAAATTTTGTTGCCCTTCTTAGCGCAATTCGGACAAAGCACGCTCCCCATCACCGTCGGTTGATAAAGCTGGAAGCATTGTCGGCACCTAACTCTATGTCCACCCCCCATTAGAGAAAATCCTGAAGTAATCCTGTCTTAGCGCTTCTTGTTGCTGTGGTGAAGCGATCGGCTAGTTGTACGATATGTGTTCTTAGTCACTGGGAAACCGTACGATCATGTATTCCACAGAATTATCTAAGTTTTAACGTGTGCTTCGTTTTTTTAGTTGGGAAAATTGTTTTTATGTGCCATTGCTGAGCTGTAAACGACTGTATCGCTGGCTGCCAACAATAAATGTATGGCGAGCGTTCAAAATCAAGCGACTAATTTCGTGCACTCCATTTTTTTCTAACATCCATTTAGTCAGCTATTCGTATGACATCGTGAGTTGTAAAACAAAGGAATTAACGTGGACTTTTATCATTTCATTATCGTCGTGTATATAGAGCATAGCCTCATGGTGTTACCGGTGTATTATTAATTCAGCACGATTGCAATTAAATACGTACCAAAAACAGCAGTGCCTAGCGATAACACAAGTTCCGTATATTCAAAATAACTTCCAGCATAAGAATACCTCCCTTAACCTTGACGCTTAACAGGTCAACCAGGAATTCTTTTTGAGAAGAAGCATTCTTTAGCCTTTGAAATGTTATTTCATTGAATCAACGCAATGAAAAACATTGTCTGACCGGCTAAAGACAGCTGCCGGTAGCAAACTTTTATCAATAAATATTTTATAATAACAGGTTTTCGCTAATAGAACTCATTAAACATGGAGAAATATGTATTTATGAGATTCCTTAAAGGACGACGTTTTTCTTCGAAACAATCATTAAAAAGAAACATATTATTTTTTCCTACTAAATGAAGGAAGAAGTAGCTGAAACCCTCAGTTTCGTAATATTCACTTTTAATGTTTTTGGACTTTGGATTTTGTTGTCTAGTTGGATATTCACTTGCTTAAAGGTAGGTATCTGCGCTTTAATAGTAATATTTAGTCGAACGTGTTTTGCACAAATAGGATAGCAATCTCAAGGCAATACATTTACGGCAAGATCCATATAGCGGTACTATGTACAGATTTAGTTGCACAGGACCAGTCTGTAGCTTCGTGCTCTTGCAACCGAATCTTTCTCGCAAGTTTTTGTCGAATTTATACCTCGCTGCTTTGCAAGAAATATTGTTTGTATAGTGTCTGCAAAATTTAAAAATAACTTGTTTTAGAAGCAGCAGCTAAGAGTAATTTAATTTTCTCCGTGATTGAACTGCATTCTTACAGTTGCGATAGGGCACTTCATTCATTACTGTCTATATATGATTACTCCAGTTACGCACCGCTATTTTCTCGAAATGAGATGCAAGATAGCTTAGGGATATACTAAATCCATTTATTCGAGACTGGGGGATAAGGATTGCTATCGGTGACGTACGAGGCTGATCTATCCCTACTCTCTCAATTAATTGAATTCTCCCGAAGATTAGCACTACGTAGAAGTTTTTCTATTATATCTTGCTACATGCTATACGAGGATCATACCAAACCAGCCAGCATTTATTTGACTCGAATGCCTTATCAGTAGTGTATCTCATATGAGAAAATCAACAAGCGTCGAGCAGGCTAGGAGTGCGACTTTGGTCTCATCGTCTGGTCCGATATCCTTACGCGCTCATCTAGCTGACAAAGATAAACCAGCACAGTTCATCAACGTTCGCATCGTCCGAGTACGGTGTCGTCTCAGCTTCGGAAAGGCTATACCTAATTTCAGCTAGTTGACCATCGTAAGTTAACGAAGATAACTTAGTCCTTGAAAGTAATGGCACATTTAACATGAAAGATGAGGATTGCTCGTTATTTGACAAATCCGACGCCTGATCAGAACCTGCTAGAGGTAGTCAGCTCTGACAACCAGACGACTGCCAAAACGATTGCTGACTGTGTTCTTCTTTGCGTTGTCCGTAGACCTTAGGCTTCCCAACACAGGATGCCAGTAGAGTTTAGTGTGAGATTGACTACACACAGTGCACGGCTGTGCTCTTCGTTACGAAACAACACGCAGGATACTCGTGTGCTTGTCGAGCTTCTATCTTGCGTTCGCCTAACTGATGTTTATTGCCATGATATCTCTGTTTTGTTGACGTTTTGTCATCATTTTTTATATCGTACAGTATCAAACGTCAAATCTAGATTTCGTATTTTAGAATACTGTCAAACATTACCTATGGTATGATCGATCCCTTTCTCTTGGGCGGAAAGCAACAAAATAGAGGGCACTAAGCATTTCGAATTAGCAAACGAAAGTTTCTGCCTAGCTCTTACATTGTTCAGGGTGCCGACAACCAGAAAGTGACAGTACACCAAGGCCACCGACTTACGGAAATTCGCAAAAATAAGCGCAAGAAGTGCTATCTATCACAATAGCTTAGGGGCATTGTTCTTTAGCTGATGCGTATCTTTCCAAATGCATTGCCCCTTCAAATCTGAGATAATCACAAAAGACGCATGAGGAAAGCAGAAAAAAATGCCAACAATTCATAGCCACAACAACGCTTAATTAAAGCAATATCTGACCTAACATTTATTTAGATCTGTTGGAGAAACTCCATCAATCTCTAGCAAAAATACTCTTGGCAGTGTCACAAAGTTATTTGCAGCCCTTGTCTACTTATTAGGAGTTAGCTAAGAGTTAGCTTGAAATCACGCAGTAACGGCACTTTTAGCAGTAGCTTTACGGGTATTCGTATCTCAATTTGCTGATATTCGTTTGTAAAATCGAACCCCTTTCAAGTCTGTATTTATATTTAATTAGATACAATCATGAAGAGTATTTTTTATGGAAGTCTAGTTGAAGTCTTCGCTGGTAATTACGCTCCTCTTACCTCTGAAAAACGATAACGGATGCTTGCCCGACGCAAATTTACCCGTTGGAATAGAACATATTCGTAGTAAATCATAGTAAATTAGTTCCTATCAGCAGCAAAAAGTAGCAATAATATGCTACGAAACAAAAGGGAGCTTTTTAATCATCGAACTAGAAATATAAGGTCGCTTAGAAATTTACTACTTATTACATCACTAGACTTTTTGCTGAGCATCATGCAGATGATTAGTAACTAGTTGCGATATTTGCGTGGATCACTCCGTCAAGATTAGCAAAAATACAGTGTCGTGTGCAAAAGGTCGCTGATATTGTTAAGTCCCACAAGGGAGGGAGCAAGGGAAGCCCTTTTACATTTATATCAGAATCCATCATTAAGCGCCCGTAATTAGTTGTCAGCTGCTGTCCCCGTTGCTGCTCCTTTGCGACTGCCGAAACTGTTACTGATGACGTGTCATTGAAGCGCTAGCGCTCATCGATAGATGTCATAGCACCGCCTGGTGAACATCGGCAGCAATGCGCCTGCGGATTGTTTAGTGCATTTGCTACGCAACAGTCGGCCTCAAGTGCCTGTTGCTTTCGATTGAACGATCGCCCGTACCGTATAACGGCAACGCCAGGGGCAACAACGCGGCCGAATGGGCGACGTTGTACGGCCACGCTCAGCGTTTGGCTAAAGCATGTTGTCGTTTGATTGTTTGTTTACATCCAATCAGCAACACTAATGAAATAATACGATGTAGCGAGACAAGCGACGCCTCAAAGCAGGGACTGTCCTGCCACGCTGTCAGATTAATCGGGAATGGTCTTTGATAACGGCACTTATATCGCATATAATAGTAAGCAGATGTCAGCCAACGCGTTTCGTTTACGTGCGGAACGAGAAACTGATCTAAATGACGAAAATGGTCGAGCGAGAGAACGCTCACGATCAAGGAGAAGGGAAAGGGAAAAAATGATAGGGATATTACAACAGAAAGAGAGTGTGTAATTGAAAGGGTTAAATAAAGGATGAATTTATAACTCGATCAAACCGAGGACGATACAGGTTCAGTTTGTGTGTGTACGAAGACAACCAAGCTGGACGGCCAGACTGGTTCAGGTGAAGGCGACTGCCTACGAGATGAGTTCTCAGTGAACTGAACTCGTCATCAGTGGGTACCCGTTATTCGGAGTATGTCTTGCGCTGATTGTTAAGGTGTCTTTTTATCGGCTCAAATATATAGATAGAAGAAAATGCGAGTGCGGATAATACGAATTAATTATGGATCGTCATCAATATTAACAGCGGCCACAGAACTATCATTATCGACCAGTACTCTATGGAACCATATGGATGAATCACTTTAGCGATATTCCATCGACATGCGAATAGGCGTGATTTAAGAGCGTGTGCATGCTTTTCACGTAATCCTATTCAATTGAAATGCTATACAAGTTGTATGGACGGACTCTTCGCCGGAGTCGTTTGAGCGTGACGCACGAACTCTAGATTTCAGGCTGGCACGCAAAAGATATAAATGAATAGCGCACTGAAAACAGTGATAGTAATAATAATAATAAACTTTCCTAATGATTGGAAGGCTACGTAAGTGCGTATCTTTGCCGCAAGACTGTGGCATTCGTTTTGCATTACTGATTACGTTTGCTTGAACCTTGTACAGAAGGAACGTACATACAGGACGTTATATATTAACCTCAAAGTTAACCCATGAAAATTTTGACTCATTTGAAGCCGCGTCACGATCTTGTTATCCCTTAGTGCAATAGAATTCAGTCAGCTGCTCCAAATCGTATATATTTTCTTTCTAGCTCTTGTCTAATATTAGCATGTTTGTGTCTGTCATTTCAGATGCAGTAATCAGTCTATTGTTTGCGTGTTTGCGCCGCTTTGACTGACTCATAAAAAAGACCATTGTTACTTAAAGCCCACTTTATGGTAAGGTGATCATCACCGAACGTAAGACACAAGCAGACAACCAATTTCGTCTTCGTTGCAGCACTAGCAATTACGAAGTTGATACTTGATTTGCACACCATTTCACACGAAGTGCGCACAAAATCAGCGTGTGCGTGTACCTTGCCCTTCACTCACGAAGGAGTTCCCATTTTAGCGCGACTTAGTTGGCATCAGATCGCGCCGGTGGCATCAAGGTGGCCGGCACTGTGGGATTGGCAGGCCGTGGAAAACGAAAGATTGTCAGGAGACGCCGACAGGTGTCTGCGTAGTGCTTTCATTGGCGTTACCGTTGCCAGCAGTCCCGGCGGCGGCGTGGGTCAAAGCGGTTGCGGAGGTATGGCGTCGAGCTCCGGAGGGCGCCCGCTTGGAAAGGATCACCGGCGGGTTAGCAATGCCACGACATCGTCATACGACAACTCGTCGTCGGATGAGACTGAAAACGACTCAAGGCAACGGCGAACTATCTTCAAGCAGCGGGGCGGCGGCGGACCTGGTGGTTACGTGCATGGTCAGCCGAAGCTGAAGCCGTGCTTAAGAAACGAAGGCAGCCGAAGTGACGAAGGTGGAGCGAGCTCAGCTGGGGAGCAACGCCATAACAGTCACCATCACCACAACCATAGTCATCACCATCAGAATCATCCATTGGACGGGAGTAACGGCATCAGTCATTCGCAGCATCAGCAGCTGCAGTCGTCCCAGCAACAGCAGGCAGCTCAGCACCAGGCACAGCAACAATCTCAACAGCAGCAGCTCCAGGCTCAACACCAGGTCCAACAGCAGGTCCAGCAACAAAGCGCGCAACAACAACAGCAACAACATTGCGGTGGGGTACCCCCTCAACAGCAGCAACAGGCTCAACAGCTGTTGGCGATGGCAAACGCAGCTAATCAGGGAGGAGGCGTAGGGGGTGGCCACCCCGGAAGTGGAGGGCAAATGATGATTCGAGCCAAATGCTATACGCTGAGCGCTATTGGAACTATAGGTAATGTCGGCGGGGCGATGAATTCCTCGCGACTAGGAAGCAACCGAAGCGGACCTGGTCTTATGAGTTCCTCGAGCTCGAGTACCGAAAGCAGTCATGCGAGTCCGCAGGGCGGGCCTAAACAATCTGGCGATGGACCTACAGTAGGAAACACGCATGGAAGCAGCAATACACATATTGTGAGTATAGCATGCTGTTTTTTGAGAAACGTTAGCCAGTATTATCTAAATCAGTATTTCAGTAATCTAAAGGGCAAAATCTAGAAGGTTAGCTGAAGTGCTAGATATAAGCGTTTAATTTATTACCTAGGTTAGTTTTTGTCGACTTTCGTGGGGCGGAATTTATTTCGGTATCTTTGTTCGAACGTTTTTCAAAGGACGATGGACCAGTTATTCGAGTCGAATAACCTCCTTCTGGAATAACCGTGAACTACGAAGTGCTTCGAAGTGGTTGGTCGCAGTAAGAACATTCTAAGAACAAAAATAATAACTCAGTAATTAAAAAAAACTCACTAAAACTCAAAGGGTAAAGCGAATCTTTGTTGTTTAGAGCAAAGCAAATGCATATTAAAAACGGTTGACTTAAATCCTATGACAAACATACCTACTAGATAGTGTCTACGTTTTTCGAAAGGCCTCCTTCAAGCACGAGAAGCGTCGAAGCAGTCCATATACGTAGAGACATATATAATACAATAGCAAACCTGTTATCTGTTTTGGATCTGGCGAGAGTTTAATTAAAACTCTCCTATAGCAATACTCGATGTAGTAACGTGCATGGCGAGGATTTGCGGGTAATTAAGTGTCAATTCAAAGAGTATTATTTTCCAGATTTCAGATATCACATGTATAGCATAGCAGTAACAGACAAACATCTTTTCCTAGCATACTGATCTGTCTGAAGGTTCGAGTTCGCCGATAACCTCTTGAAGATTACTGGTGGGCGACGCTTGTATTTACTTAAAATGGATTTAGAAAGTATCTCAGTGTGCTTGGTATATTTTGAGTCTGAATGACTATCCGAACGAAAAATAATTTTTGCGCAAATATATATATATATACGATAGGGCGCCTGAATTACGACAAATTTCGGCAGGCTGTTTATCGTAACGGGCATGCGTTCATCCGCTGCTCTCGGTAGCAGACGAAAGCCAACGAAACGACAAATCTATCATAGCGAACAACAGTGCATTGCTTTCAGAATGTGAACAACGTCATCCACTATCCAATCTTTGCGCACTTAACAAACCTCCACTGAAATTAAAAACTTCCTTTTCTCGAAGTTGATGCTCTTATCGTTATGGCACTAATCGTCATGAGACTTTTGGAAAGTAACAGCCACTTTGGGGAGCAGAATATCAATTCACTCGTCTAATCTAAGTGCTGTACGATTTTAGCTTTCGAAAAGTATGGACGGTTTCTTAACCAAAATTTAAGCAAATACTTCTTTGTTTCAAAACACTAATACTAAATTAAATAGGTGCTAGTTGATCAATGACCTTCTGCAATTTTCCCGATAACACTAAACTCTACCATTGTAGAACGTTTTGGTTGTTTAGGCTAGAAAAGTGACTTCTGTATGTTTACATTGAAACAAAATTAACACCATCAGAGGCCGAGGCAGATGCTACAATATCGGGGCTATATGGCGAATTCATTCACTCAGTTTTTACCGGGTAGCTAAAAATGTATGCGGTTTATCATGGTCATGATTGAAGAGGGCGTCTCTGCTGTTCACTACTACCGATCGATTTTTTCGACATCTTTTTGTAACCCTGTTAGTTATTCACAGTAGAAGTCTGAATCAATTGTTTTGTCAGCTTCAATCCCGCCAAACATATAGCATTGTCTTCCTGAGCGTAAGTTTAGCTTGCTGCATTTATGTAGAGATTCGCACATGAAAATTCAACATTTTTCGAACACGAGAAATTTCGCAATTATTCCGAGTCCATTTGGGTAGCGCCCAAAGAGTGAATCTTTTTACAGTAAATCGTAATAAAGTATGTAAAAAAATACAAATGAGTTAAACCTGTGTGGTGGTATGTGTTTATTTCCTTGGCGATGTCATGGCTACTTACGCGTTAGTTTTGCTCAGTTCTTCGTAATAATCGCATCAACCTTTTAAGTGCTTGATCGATTACTGCGAGAAACATGGTTCGCGTTGAAATTTCCAAAATGAACGCGATAGAACTATTTTTAAGCCGCTTTCTCTGAACATAAACGGCGCAATTTTTTACGGGCCTGGCCAGTCCGTAAATTTTTACAGGCATTTGTGCCTCTACTATAACACAATTACACAAAAAACACAGTGATTTTTCGCAGAGATTTCCCTTATGTTCACATAGGTCTCTCATATGGCTAAATATATGCATTGCAACAATGTTAGCAAATGGTTAACTGTAAAATTTTGGTTTCGCAATGGCACCGACGCCATCACTTGAGATATATGATTTTGAAACCACGCAGCTACAAAAACCATCAATACTTTACCAACAAGTCGATAATATCTATCAGCGCGGTCGGCATGTACTACTAGTTTTGCACAAGAAGCTACGAAGGTAATATTTCTAAATATAGTATAATATATTATAAAACTGTGTAGCTAAGAAAACTGCCCAATATTGCTACATATATATCTATACATTTTAAAGGTATAAATAGAGCAGGTTTATCGTCGTTTTATTACGACTGTAATCGCGTTTGCCCCTGGCTATTTGTAAACGACGAAAACGAGTTGTGATCTGTCCGCAAGTGACAAAAAGCTGTTTTGTTTTTTTGGGCAATTGCTGTCCGGGTACATCACCACTGTGTCTTCCCCCGTCATTCAAACTTTTACCAGTGAGAATTTAGACAACGACGCTTCAGATGATAAACTATCATATTCGCATCATCTGTCGAAACGTTCTCGTTGTGTTCGTCGCTCCGGTGGACAGCTGAGACAATTTTGGTAAAACAATTGGATTAAGAGGTGACCTTTGGTCAAAGGCAGAGACAAATATGTACAAATAGTAACTGACATGCAGCCTGACAGAGAGACATCCAGAGAAACACGGCAAGAAACGCCCATGGCAAAGATGGATAGGTTTCGAGTTTCCTAGTGGACGCAACCTTGCACCCTATAGTGGTAGGCTGCTGCCATTACACGGTGCTTATATCGTTGCATCAACAGCTTATGTCGTTTTTTACTCTGGCTGCTGGTTCTACTGTTATTATTATTTCCACAATGTGAAATTGTCAATAAGAAATCATTTTCTGATGAAATTTCACAGTCTGAGCGTTGTAAATATAATGATAACTAAAACGACGCTTTGACAATATGAAACTGATGTACAATTTTGATATTCGCTAAACGTTAACTTACTTAGGCATACATCGTGTACTGCTAGAAAAATAGTATGAGTTTCTAGCGTCGTTTTGCAAAAACTGCCCAGACCCAATTTCACTGATCAAATTTACCTAATAGCCAATAGACCTCCGAAAGCTCCATCGTTTCCGTTTAATTTAAAGTCACTAAGAACTGAAGAGCAGCGATTTCTGGATCATACTAATAGGCAGTTCATCTTGCAGCGAAAACAGATCTGTATTTAAATTCTAGAGCCGAAAGATGCATAATCATAAAGGGTTGAAGAAAACGGAGAACCAGTGGTGCGTTGCGTGCGCTAATTGTTCAGTGTAGATTTGGCCAATCATTGTTGGGTTTGCGACGTTTAGTTTCACCTTATAAATGCCACAAGCTTGAGACGCCGCTCCAATCCGGTGGCCGTTGTCGTCATTCTCATTTTCTCCATCGTGCAGCCCCCTCACATTTTCTTCCTTCCTCTCTGTGTAGCATCTTCATATTCAACTAGTGTATAACATGTACCGCTCGCGGTTGTGGTTCCACTTTTGGAATCTTGCGGGCAAGCATGGCGTGCGCAGCGACAAGTAGAGACAGAGAAGGCTACAGTGAGAAAGGGGAGCGTACGATAACGGTTACGACGACGGCACGACAGAGAATTGTCTCACCCTGTCTGCGCCATACACACGATCGTGCCCCCAGCCTGATCGTTGTATGAAGCTGTTTCGATGTCGTAGTGAGGTAAGATGGAGGGGTACACCGACCAACCTCGCCTAGTGAGTCGGCCATTTCATCGATACCTGCAAGCGCCCCATGCTTGTTTTGCCGTTTACCAGCAGCAGTTTTCCTTTGCATGCCTACTCTGTCATATCTGCCAGGTATTACGAGAATGCGAACAACTATCAGTGAAAGCAACAGCGCAAATTTAGTCAGCATCGTCATCACCCATTGGTTACAACCGAATGATGGTAGAGTCCTCTCCCGATTGTAGCTGCTCGACTCGTGAGCTCTGTTAGCATTCTAAATACAACCACAACGACCAATGAAACGACACACGACCTGCTAATAAAACCATTGTCATCAGGCGTGTTACACTTGTCGGGTCGGGTTCAGCTCCGTCGTACTACATTAGCCGTACCGGCGTCAGCTCCAGTAGCTTTATCTACACTTGATATAGAGTTGGCCAGCTGCTATGCTCCATGAGCAGCCGTAGCCAGCCGTCGCTGCTCCTGTATCCCACTACAGCTGCAACGTACATTGACCAGGACGGGGAAGATACTGCTGCACCGGTCAGGCTGTAAAAGCTAAACAGGTCGGATTAGCTGCACTGGTTAACTGAAGTCTGCTACGCAGAGATTTAGCAGGCTACAACAGACGATGGTGGCTGGGTGAGAACGATGGTATGGAACGGCTTTCACTAGAACGCTAATGCAGTTGGCCGGTGCGACACGATGCGTCGTTTCGCCGGCGGTTCTACAGACTGCGGCGGGACTTCAGCAGGAATCGCAGAAGACAATTAACCGATTTTTACCGTTTCACTTGCTGCTGCTGATCATGTTCTCACTGCAGCAAGAACTTCTACCATTATAATTATTAGTAATAAGCTGAGCAAAAATGATGCTACAGCCATATCAGAGAGCAGCAAGAAGTCTGAACTTTGCTCAGTCTGTAAGGAACTGCACGTCGGACGGCTTACCTGCGCGGACATTTGGATCGGCCAACCGATTAGTGATAGCTCGACTTGAACGTAAAGGAAAAGAAACCGAGACATAGCTGTTATTTTCAAGTATGTGTTGTATTTGCTTGCCACGTTTTTTTTGTTTTGGCTAAGGGTGATGTTCCTATACGTCAGATACAAAAGCAACTACGTATCTAAACATTCTGACAAATTTTATTATGTACTGCTCGCCTTGGGTGCTCTTGTAGCTGTTCACGCCGTGTATCTTTAAATCAAGTTATTTAACTGTACTTAACCTAACATGTAATATATTAGATTATGAAGCTGCAAAACTTTATTCTGGACTAAAACCGAGCATCACTATGTGCCTGTTTTTATATATATATATATGTGCCAGTAGTCGCTGGAGGTTATGATAAGCATTTACCTGCATTGAATTATTTTAATTTATCGTCTAAAGGGCAAACTTCGGCCAGTGCGGTGATTTGGCCTTCTCTGAACTGTGGGCAAAATACACACAGTTCGAACTGACTCATGTTACTGAACCAATTAATGCTAGGCACAAAATCAGTAAGACCTGGCCTATTGCATATTTATTCATTTACCATCAGGCTGTTAGGTGTCGTCATAAATATAATATTTTAAATTTGAAGCACGTATCATAATAACGTTGTGTTTCCAATGATAAAGTCACAAACAGCCTAACGTTTTCTGCTCGTCTTTTCCCTCCGTTTTCTCTTATTTCCTTTTATCGACCTGTCTATTTTAGACAACAAGCAGTACTGCGTCATCGTCGGAGCAACGCTTAACTCTAGTCGTCGATAATACGCGATTCATCGTCGATCCTGCCCTATTCACACAGCATCCGGACACGATGCTTGGTCGAATGTTTGGCTCATCTCTGGAAAACAACTTCACGAGGCCGAATGAACACGGTGAATATGAGCTCTGCGAAGGTATCTCGGCGGCGGTGTTCCGAGCCATTATTGACTATTACCATTCAGGCCAGATTCAATGTCCACCATCAGTGACGGTGCCGGAACTTCGCGAAGCGTGCGATTACTTCCTCGTGCCATTCGACGCTTCGACGGTAAAATGTCATAACCTTAGGGGCCTGCTGCACGAACTCTCAAACGAAGGTGCTCGACACGAATTCGAACGCTTTTTAGAGGAGCTCATTTTACCGGCAATGGTGGCTTCGGCACAACGGGGTGATCGTGAGTGTCATATCGTTGTGTTGCTCGAAGACGACGTCGTAGACTGGGATGAAGAGCACCCCCCGCAGACCGGCGAGGAATACAGTCAGATTGTGCACTCAACGACGCTGTACCGATTCTTTAAGTATATCGAAAACCGGGATGTTGCCAAATTGGTACAATATTCAATACGGCTTTGATTCGCCTATTACTTCTCTGGTTATGCATATCGGCTTTTTCATTTAGATGTGCAGTTCAAAGATCGGTTATATTATATTACGCTATCTTGATACAGTAGTTCCTAATTATTATTTATTAAAGGTTGATTACATTTTGGGTGGCTTGTTTTATCATAGTTAGCTGAAAAGTCTACAGTGTACGAGTGTGTGACGCTAAAACTATTATTATGCAGTGATCTAGCTGTTTCAAGATTCTACTAGAGCTGAATAATGGCAATAATGGAAAAACTGGTGGCGTCCTACCTAAGATTAAACCAACATACCGCAAAATGTCAGATTTGATTGAAATTCTATTAGATAAATACTGCTTAAATTATTGTTTCTTATCGCTGTGCATTTTGTTTTTATATAAATTTGTATGCAAAGGTGCTCAAGGAACGTGGTCTCAAAAAGATCCGTCTGGGTATCGAGGGATATCCCACCTACAAGGAGAAGATCAAGCGACGTCCAGGCGGCCGGGCGGAGGTCATCTATAACTATGTGCAACGACCTTTTATCCGTATGTCATGGGAAAAAGAAGAGGCGAAATCCCGGCATGTCGACTTCCAGTGCGTGCGTTCGAAGTCTATCACCAACCTCGACACGATTGTCGCTGACGGTCGTTTGGAAGGTCCACTAGGGGGAGCCGGTGTCCTTCAGAATGGTGCAGGTGGAGCCGCGGCTGGCGCCGCTGCTGCAAGTGGCGCTGCATCTAGTGTTCAGGGTGCGGCGCCTCCTGTGCGGCAAGTAGCTGTTGATGGACTCCTACCACCTGCATTGGCAGGGCTTGCCAATGAACCAGGTGCCCTAGCTGGTGGCTTTCAAGGTCTTCTGCTAGGCAATGCAGGCGCAGCCGCAGAGGAAAATGGAGCCGTAGGTGGGGCCGTAGGTGGGGCACCGCCATTGCGCAGGCGCGAAGCTTATCCATATGGTCCACATGGAGCAGCCGCAGCAGCTGTAGTAGCGGTTGGCGGCAACGGTTCATTGAATGCCCTCGGGGCTTTATCTGCTCAAGATCAGGCCGCAGGTGGTGTCCTGGGCAGCAATAACAACGCCCACGACGAATCCTCGCCACCGCCACCTCCGACTCAATAATAAGCCAACAGACTAGCACTGTCTGAAATGTCCCGCTAACTACGAGAAATTAGTGTATCAGAAAAACAAATAGTCACTTAAGTAGAAGTAGCATATAGGGCGTGAGAGATACCATTCAACAAAGCAGAACCTATCGAATAGGGAAGAGTGATTATTAGAAATAATTGCGGCGATGATCTTAAGCAGGCTGAGAAGAACTTAAGCTTTTGGACCAAGCTAAACATACTTTTCATTTTAATTCATATGGTGCACATCTGCAGTTATAGACTTCGCTTCTCAATCTTCTCCGGCTTCCGACCGCCAAAAATGGGTCACGCAACCACATGTGCGTCATTATTAATACAATTCGTACATGACGATTATGGGAACAGATCAGTGTCGAGGTGACAAAACAGGAGACGCGTTAGTGGGCTGGATAAGAACAGTCTGGTAAGATGACTTTATAGTTTTTAGGCCGACTTCAAAGCATCTGATGACGAAGCACGTCAAATAATCAGCCGAAACGGCCGCAGTCAATAACTCCTCTACTATTATTGATGACCTAAAATAGATATGATGATCCATTATAAAGGTACAGAAAAATCTCTCGATGCATATGTTATGTGTATTATCTAGCGGTACAAGTGCGGAAGACATGTAGGAGATATGTGTGCGTAAAGCGATAGAAATGATAGTAGTCGTGACCCAACAAAAGTGATATTAATACCAGTAAAAGGTCGAATGGAAGAAAGGAGCGCATAGAAACAGATGCGGAGAGCGCCGAGAACGAGTCGCTGACGACTTTACGGCTCGGGACTAGACGGAGCGATTTGCTCCTTCTGCGTCGTTTACGTATTCATATGTAGGTACATTTAGACATTACGCAAGTGATATCGATAATAATTCTCGAATTATTTTCCTTTCATAGAAAGCAAGAAAGGGAGACTACGATGAAGATCAATTTGTTTATTACCATAAGCGATCGCACATGAAACAGATCACTATAATGACGATATTATAGTTATTCAAGATTATATTATGACGACTATCGCCATAGTGGGAAACAAAGCAAAATTGTAAACATTTCATTGAGACTAAGATAACAGTCATCAGCAAAAAGAAAATGTTGAATGAGCTGGAAAGAGGTAAAACAGATTGAAAGATCGGAAGCGAAGATGATGTGCAATCGGCGTCGCTGTCAAGTTCTTCCTGAAGCCATAACCGACCCATGTCAATTACGTGAAAGGTGCGTTCCTTCTCGTTTGTAAATATTCTATAAGAAAAGTGGGACACATCTGCTGTAGGAGCGAACAAAACCGCTTTCGGTCGCACGCATGACACATGGACGACGAATCTTTCGCTGGCCACATCAACAAGCACCGCCACGAACTGGGTGCCCTAGCGCTACGATGACGAAAACACAAAGGAAGACAGCAGTATCAGACCACAAGAGATCTAGGGATGGCTAATAAGAAACTGCCACAATGCCTTAGGGCAAAAGTTAATAGTGTCTTATAGAAGAAATTTATCTTTGGCTGGCAGACTCATTGGAAAAAATCAACGCCTGTCACAAGTTCAATGTAATCATAGTTCTGATTTTTCTTTCGTCACAAAGAAGTAAATCGCATCAATATTAGTACCGCTGTTGAGACTGATATGTCGTCATGTTTGTTCTCTCTGATGTATCTTAATCATCGTAACATAAGCACGAGTGAATCAGTCGTAGTTGAAGGTTGGACCATACATATTTCAATGAACTGCTTTTATTATTACCATGTCGTGAGACCTGGCGATTACACTCTTCATAATCGTAACAGGACCAACTTAAGTTGTAATGGTTATAGATAATGAAACAATATGGCTGTTGTTAGTTGGGCGTTCAGCCTACTGAGCGGCCCTGATGTTCCTTCGTAGGTGGAAGTGTAAAGAGACAAACAAAACTTTTACACGGAAACATTTGCATGGCACAAATGAACTTAAGGCAAGAGCTTGACGATTGTTTAGCTGCCATCAAAGCCAGGATCGAACGGAGCACTTCAACTAACTTCTTCATGGTGGACGTGGAATGTAAAATCAACCGTCGTAATATATATCTATGTATGTATGCTCTAAGTGTAACTATACGTAACAGCGATTGCCGAAAGTGATTATGACTATGTGGAAAAAAGCTAGTCTCATTCTGGAAGAAACTGCCTTTTAGTTCGGTAGCACATTCACTATCAATAGCAACAATGTGCGTGAGACCTCGTCCATAGTATTGATTGAAACGTCGAGGCCAAGAACGGCTGATCTTTGAGCGTCGGTATATAGAGGAAGCGATTTATTGGGTATTCTACACGCGGCTTCCTATATGCATATATGGATGGTAAAAATAAATGGCACAGTGAAGTTGGGTAACATAAATAACGAGACTACCACAGTACAGTATCATATGCGCAACGAGATGACAGTCACCCACACCTCGTTTCTACTAATCTGCCTCCGATTAATTCATTATGATCATCTCACCATGGATTTAGATCGTCTTTAGCGGTCGAGTGACTTAAGAAGCACCTATAAGGTAATTTTTTATAAATTTCAACTTTTCATTTTTTTGTCGATAGACATGCCATTTCTACGTTTCTCCAAAGTGTATTTTTCATTTATTATTGCTATTGCACCGAAAAGCTTGGGCGCATAACAAATCGCCGCTTTTTACTTCCGCCTCCTCTCCGCCCATTTGTTTCTATGGAAAATTACCAATTTGATATACATATATATATATATA